CTTTCCGTCTTCCAAGCCCGTGTTTCGGCCCCTTCCCCAAGGCCCCAACCTGTCCATCCTCCCTGCCTTCTCCAAACCCTCTCTTTTTCTAAATGTCCACTTGTCCCCACTGAAGACCCTCCATCCTTCCCAAGTTCTCTCTCACATGCCGTGCGAGCTCTGCCCCAGCCTCCCAGCAACCTCCTGGAAACTTCTAGCTCTTTCCTGGTCTATCTCTCCCGGCAGCAAGAGTGTGACCCGGTGAGACCGGGTGTGGAGAGGGCCTTTGGGCCGCGGAGATGGTGGCCTGGGGATGGGTGTTGCCGACTGACTCCCAAGGAAGCCGTGCAGGTGGGTGGGTGGGCCCAGGGGCGGGGGCCCGTGTGTCTCTGTGGGAACGGCTGGAGCCTCGCCTGGGCCTGAGGGAGGCCCCGCCTGGCAGGGCCATGTCTGGCCTGGGCAAGCAAGTGGTCACCCTGTCGGGGCCTGAGCGTCTTGGTCTGAGATGGAGCGGCCAAGCGCCGGCTGCTGCGGGGACCGTGCAAGCTTGGCCTGGAGGGCACCACGTTACAGCGCGGGACGGATGCTCACTGCCACTCACCTTACCGTGTGACCCTGGGGTCCCCGCTGTGGCCCTCGGGCCACGCTGGAGCCTCACCAAGCCTCACAGAACGCTGGTGGGACTGGACTTGGGGCCCACGGAAATGCGGGGGGACAAGGGATCCAGAAACAACCCAGTCCCCGGGCCGAGCTGGCCGAGGCCTTACTCAAATGGGGCTTCCCATCCCGAGAGACGCGCTGGCCGGTCATCCGGATCCAGCTCCCTGGGGCCACGGTCGCCCGCCACGCTCCAGGCGGGTCTGGGATACCCTCCTCCGGGGCCTCGCCCGCTTCTCTCTGCAGCCGGAACAGGGAGCACGGCCGGCTGCGGGGCAGGGGGCGGCAGGGAAGGGCGTGCCCTGGCCACTTGGCTCCCCCGTGGGCACTGGGGAGGGTCTCGGGGTGGCCAGGAAAGGTGAGGAGAGACGTGAGACCCCAAGAAGGAGAGAGACATCATGGCGGGTAGTGTGACAGGGGAAGATGCCCGAGCCCCTGGCTGGCAGCGGGGCCTGGCCGGCCGGCCCTCCAGAGGCGTGCCACTGACTGCCTGGCCAGGCTCTGTTTGCTGTGTGTGGGGCTTGCAGAAAGTGCTGATCTGCTGAGCCCACAGGCCAGGCTCAGAGGGGACAGGAAGGAGGTGGCTGCCCAGCCTCGGGCACTGCTGCCCCATCTCCCGTTTCCAGGGCACCGGAGCCACCAGATCTGCGGGCTCTGTGCTCGGGGACGGGCTTGCCTGGTCACTCCAGGCCGGGCTATCAGCGTCACCAGGGAGAGGGTTAAACATCCACCCTGCGTCCAATGCCCCCAGGCAGGTCCCTCACTCCTGCCCCCACCCCCACCCCACCCCCACCCCACCCCCCCCCCACCCCACCCCCGCCGTGCCTCCTCCGAGACCCTGGACATGCACCTTTCCCCTGGGAGCAGAGGGAGGGGGGAGGAAGCGGATGGAGCCGCGGCCCTGCCGGCCCCCGAGGGCACCTTCCCACGATGTACCCCCGCCCCGGCTGCCTGTCTCCTGTCCCCAGTTCCCACGGGGCCCCTCCTGATGGAGGAGGCTTGACCTCAGGGCTGACTAGCTGCCGCCTGCTCCCGGAAGACAGGGGCTGCAGGGCAGTCCTTGGCCCGAGGCTGCAGGGAAGGGTCTCGGAGAGCAGCCCAGAGGCAAACCCCAAGGGTCTTCCGGAAGGAAGAGGCCTGGGGGGCACGTGGAGGACCCGGGTGTGGCCCGGTGGTCGCTCCCCGCAGGTCACAGAGGGTGTGAGTGGGCAACACCGAGGCCTGGCTTGAGGAAGGACCCAGAGCCACAGGGCGGGGCCGCCAGGTGGGCACGGGGCTCTGCTGGGGACCCCGAGGGAGAGAGCGGGGAACAGCCGGGCCCAGAGGCAGGCGGCATGGGCTCGAAACTTGGTGTGGGACTGAGAGCTGGACCTCAGGGTGATTTCTCTTGTGCGCTGGCCTCGTTCGGGGCCCCCCGGGAGGTCTCAAGACGGAAGGGGGTCTCGCATTAAGCCTTGTAATCCCATTCCCCAAGGAAGATGAGATGGGAAGCAGGAAGGAGGGCCCAAGAGGGACCCCGGCTGCGGAGGAGGAGGACGGAGGACACAGGGCAGCTGGGCCACGGCTGGGTGGGGTCAGGAGCCGCTCCATCGTGCCAGGAGTGGGGGCACATGGGGCTCGGCGGGGCTGGAAGGTGGAGGG